AAGTAGGTCTGAATGAGGACAGGGTATTTTGTCTGTGAACTTGTTTCAGACTCTGCTAACTACAGTCAAACTCAGTCATTCTGTTCTGAGCTCCCACAGGCTTCCCATCAGGCTGTGGAAACTGCCATGTTCTATGTTAGTTTGCTGGACATGTATCTTCCAATGAAAGTCTGAGATTCTAGGGCATCTGGGTGGCTCAACTGGTTAAGCATCTGCGTTTGGCTCAGGTCATGATCCTGGATTCCAGGGATCCAGCCCCCTGCTTTGCTCAGCAGGGAGTCTGCTTCTCCCTCTGCCCCTGCCTTCCCACTAGTGTATGCCAGCTCTCTCTCAATTTCTTGCAAGATACATCCACGAAGGCAAAAGAAACAAAAGCAAAAATGAACTATTGGGACTTCATCAAGATAAGAAACTTTTGCACAGCAAAGGATACAGTCAACAAAACTCAAAGACAACCTACAGAATGGGAGAAGATATTTGCAAATGACGTATCAGATAAAGGGCTAGTTTCCAAGATCTATAAAGAACTTCTTAAACTCAACACCAAAGAAACAAACAATCCAATCATGAAATGGGCAAAAGACATGAAGAGAAATCTCACAGAGGAAGACATAGACATGGCCAACAGGCACATGAGGAAATGCTCCGCATCACTTGCCATCAGGGAAATACAAATTAAAACCACAATGAGATACCAGCTCACACCAGTGAGAATGGGGAAAATTAACAAGGCAGGAAACCACAAATGTTGGAGAGGATGCGGAGAAAAGGGAACCCTCTTACACTGTTGGTGGGAATGTGACCTGGTGCAGCCACTCTGGAAAACTGTGTGGAGGTTCCTCAAGAGTTAAAAATAGACCTGCCCTATGACCCAGCAATTGTACTGAGGGGGATTTACCCCAAAGATACAGATGCAGTGAAGCGCTGGGACACCTGCACCCCGATGTTTCTAGCAGCCATGATCACAATAGCCAAATTGTGGAAGGAGCCTCGGTGTCCATCGAAAGATGAATGGATAAGAAGATGTGGTTTATGTATACAATGGAATATTCCTCAGCCATTAGAAATGACAAATACCCAACATTTGCTTCAACGTGGAGGGACCTGGAGGGTATTATGCTGAGTGAAGTAAGTCAATCGGAGAAGGACAAACAATATATGTTCTCATTCATTTGGGGAATATAAATAATAGTGAAAGGGAATATAAGGGAAGGGAGAAGAAATGTGTGGGAAATATCAGAGAGGGAGACAGAACATGAGAGACTCCTAACTCTGGGAAACGAACTAGGGGTGGTGGAAGGGGAGGAGGGTGGGGGGCGGGGGTGAATGGGTGACGGGCACTGAGGGGGACACTTGACGGGATGAGCACTGGGTGTTATTCTGTATGTTGGTAAATTGAACACCAATAAAAATTAATTTATTAAAAAATAAGTAAATAAACAAAGAAACAAACAAATAAATAAATCTATCTTTAAAGTCTGCACTTCTGTTCCTGAGCAAGGAGGTGAGCCATTTGTTCAGTTCCTCTCAATATCTCCTTTTCAAAAAGTGCAGGACAGTGAAATACCACTGGGCTCAAAGGCAGAACTTCTAGATTTGAGTTCTGAAGCTCCACTCTGGCTTCTAACTGGAAGTATGGGGCACAGAACCAGGGCACTTTCAAATATCAGATGCTCCTCTGGTCAGTGATCATTAGTTGGCAAACATCACTATGCGGAGATTTGAATGGACATGTGGTTTTAAAAATTCAGATTCTTAACTTAAGAATTCCGAATATGAAAGTGTGAGAGTCGGGAACAGACCTCTGATTTTCAAAAATATTCTAGGTGACTAGAATCAACTTTCTAAAAAAGATTTTATTTATTGATTCATGATAGACACTGAGACAGAAGCAGAGACACAGGCAGAGGCAGAAGCAGGCTTCCTCTGGGGAGCCCGATGTGGAACTCGATCCCAGGACCCCAGGATCATGATCTGAGTCAAAGGCAGGTGCTCAACCATTGAGCCACCCAGGCATCCCTAGGTGACTAGAATCAATTTGGCTCTGGAAACACTGATTTATATTACCTCCAAGGCCACTTCTAGCTCTAACATTTTAACATTCTATGAATTCTTGTAAATCTGAGTGTGACACTTATCCTTAGTTTTTATGATTGAACAACACGGTGTGTGTGTGTGTGCATACATGTGTGCATATATGCATAATATGTAGCATGAAACGTAGAACCATATCCAATACCCAATTCTAGGTAAATGAGAACAATGTTAGTGAGGAGAGAGAAGGGAGGAAAAGTTATGGCACAATTTGCACATACTGGGGAATAACCTATGTACATTTATGCTGTGAGGGAATTGTGTGATTTGTAAGGGACAATAAGCCTGAAGAAGTCATTTTTAACTGGAGTGCCTGAGTAAGTGGTAACAATATTTACTAAGATCTGGAATAGTAAATGAAGATCAGTTTGGAAAGAAAGGGATAAAGTGCAATAAAAACTAGTTATTTATGGGTGCCCATCAGAGATCCAGTTAGGGAAGACCAAAGCCCTGTAAAACTTTAGCATGAAGTTAAAGTCGGAAAGACAGTGTAGGATTTTTATCAGACAAAGCTCATTTAGGTCAACAGAAATCATGCTGGGTATTCAGAACACGAAATTTAATGCAAAGGATTGCTTACACAGGAAGCAGATGGTCAAAAGTCCACAGAGAGTAATAACTACGGGCCCGGAGGAGCAAATGGGAAAGGCGCTATCAGCGGCAGGGGTCCGAAATCCTGGTGTTAGCTACCTACAGCTGGGGCTGGATGTATGAGTATGGGACACAGCACAGCTGGTGCTCAGACCTCTAAGTCAGGAGCAGCGCATGAATGATGCTTAAGACTTTAAGGAAGGAGTGCTCCATGACTGGGGCCCAGACAAGTGGGGTGGGGACATCCTGCAGCCAATGTTCAGGCTTTTAAGGAGAAGATACGGCCAAACAGGGGCCATGGAGAACCAGGGTACACAGCAAAACAGGTTGTGGCCCAGCTGGGCCTCTTAATGGGTGCACCCCCTGGGTGCTGCTTGTTCCTTCAAGGGATCTTGCAAGACTGCTGAGAAAGCCAAAAGTAGTTGGAGCCTGGAGCCAACCATCTGTTGCCGTTGGGGTGCTGCTGGCCAGAGCTGAAAATGGAAGGGAGTGGCTTCACCCTTCATCTTAATTTCCTGCCTGCCAAAGTCTTGGATTAAAGGGGCTAATGGGAAGCAACTGGCCTCCAGGTCTAGCAGATGCAGTGTGCAGGGCATCCATGCACTGCCATGGAGTGGAGTAGAGAATGGAGGCTTGGAGCCTGGAAGGCTGGTGAGTAGGTAATGCCACATCAACAGGAGAGGCTGAAACCACGGGATCTCATGGAATTGCTTAGAGACATGTGTAATATGAAGATGGACGAAACCAGGGTGTGTGCAAACCCAGGAAAGGGAGAACATAGGAGAACAGGGAGGAAAAGAAAGAAAGTAGCTGGAAGACTTCTATCTTCGAGGGCAGAGGAGACAGGAATGAAGGAGGAGACAGACCACATTGTGAAATGCTTGCGAAGTATCAAGGTAACAAAAAATGCCAACCATAGATTGCTGAGGGTGCCCCTGGAGTCTTTACAAAGAGCATGGTGACCGACACATGTCTAAGAGGTCATGGTCTCCTCATTAAGTGAAATTCCAGCAGCATGAAGGTGGTAGAGGATATTTCTGTAAGTTGAGAAGCAGAGGAAGATATTATACACACCACTGTTAATTTTGCAAGGAAAGGGGAGAGAATAAAAAAACCAGAAAGAACAAGGGATGAGACCTAAATACATTTAGATTCTCAAAGGCAGTTAGTTATATCCGAGGCCTGGGTAAACAACTTCTCGGAAGACCCCAGGACCTGTGCTACTTGCAAAACGAGAGCTTCTTCCACACACTCGGCTCTTGCGTGGTTTTCAGAATAAAAAAATCAGCCCATTAGCCATGAAGATATGTAGCAGCACCAGAACATTTTTTAAAAACAGGTTTTTATTTCGTACTTTACAGTCTGTTTGCCGTTACTATCAGCCCGGACAAGCAAGGATCACAAGGACACAGGAGGGATCTTAGAAAGTGTCCAATTCTTCTGCAGCTGTTTCCACTTCTTCTTCCACCCAGCTGCTCACCGGAGCTGCTAAAAAGTATTCTGTGCTCAGGCTACTGCTCTCAGCCAGGGCCCCATATTGTGGACATGCTAAGAACATAAGACCAAAAGCCAGGAGTGTTGCTGTGACTAAGCCGGCAACAGTGGCATCTTCCTGGGTCTCTATCTCCTCCGCTGTAATGAAGGTGTTGAATTAGACTATCTCTAGGAACTCTGCTCTTGAAGAGGCCATGACTGCTACATTCTCACTACAAGAGGCCAGCATGAAGATGCTACCCAATCTTTGGCCAGCTTCAACTTTGACACAGGCCCTTTTCATTATGACACTTGATGTCCCAGATTGAACAGGGAGGGGAAGCCATGCTAACAGCTATCTGTGAAGGAGCTGGAGAAGCATGAGCCAGCAGTACTGCTAAGGCAGCCACAATTTGTGACCATCACGTGGGCCATTTACTATGTGGTTGAGTCGTCTCATATTACAGAGACCAGGGTCTGAACGACAAAGACCCATGGTCACACCTCTGTCTGAAGCCAGGGTTTTAGAAATTTTCAACTATGGTCCCACCTTTCCATTCTACCTGTTTAATCTGTTAATCTGCTCACTCACTTTATCAATGAATAAAATAATTAATGGGGCCTCTGCCAGCAAGTGGGTATTCCAAAGGTCAACATAACACAGTGCCTTCCCCCAGGCCCACAGAGGCTATTTCTCTGCTGTGTCAGAAGCTGGATTGACAGCTTCATTCAAAGAATGCCCATGTTGGAGGTCAAGAGAGAAAAATCCAGAGATGTTTGCCACATGGAGCTCACAGCCAGAGGATCTTTGCTTCTCACTTTCTGTAGCTACTGCTTGGCTTTTAATTATTCTTCTTTTTTTTGCAGCAAAGTGGTGTCAGTTCAGCTCTACAGCCCCCAATCTTGTCTTCAAAGGAAAGGCACTCAACTTCACAGCGACCATCCATCTTCTGACACTGCATCCTTCTGTGTATAGCTCCATGGGCTGAGTGAAGAAAGCAAGGCCTCAGTTATCCAGTAATTGGTGACCAGAAAGCAACATAACATCACCCAGGCCAAAATCACAATTCCCTATTACCGAGTCTCCTGCAGACACAGAGTACACGCCTAGCGATCAGAAAAAGCACATGTCACCTGAGCAGCTGTATGGGAGCTCAGATTCCCTGCACAACTTACACAGTGTCCCTACTGGGTATTCAATTCCCTCTGCCATACTCATTTCTAGGCTATCTAGAAGCAGAGCATGTCTTCCTGGGATGGAGGCAGTCTACTTTCTAATTTCAATAACATTCCTTCCCAATGTGTGATTGTTTTCATGTCTCCAAATTAATAGTCTCAGATATATAACAAAAGGTAAAGATGGTGCCGTTTATACTGTAGGCAGGTCAACGATAGACCACATGCAACGATAGACCACAGCCATGTGGCTGTGGAGTTTCAAGATTTTAGGTGCAAAGATAAAAGAAACCTGAGGCTGATCCGTTCCGTAAGAAATGTCAATGAATAATGGGTTTAATTCTGGAATTCAGAGTGATGTGGACGAGTTTTTCTTCTGAACAAAGATTAAGCTAAATAGAGTAAAGGTATTTTGAGAAAAATGATTGAAAAAAGTTTTTGGTGATAGATGTTCTCAGGAGAAATAATACAAAGAACTGGCAGTCGCTCCCAAACGGAACATGTTCTTGGAAAATACAGCTTTGAGGAGGAGAAAACACATATTGCTGTCGTATACCTGAGATAATGCCATGCTGAAGAAACACTGAACCTGTTCATACCCCAGTTAGGACTCAGACCAACAGAAAGGAATTGCACAGCCTTAGATTTCTGCTCAAAGTAAGAGGAAATTTTTAAAATAGTCCAAAGTTGAACTTGGGATATTGTAATAGACTACTGAAGTTCATCAGGCATCTAGCCAATCAACTGACACGGAATACTCATAAGGTGTTTAAATACTAATTGAGGCAGATAATGAGAATGATGATTAAAGAAACAATGATAAGCAGACAATAATAATAGTGTACTTTCTCAGGGCACAGAGGATGTGCCTGGCTTTGTTTAAGCAGATTATAGAAACAGAGGGATTGTTAAACCTTCCCCAAACAGTTATTTCTCACTTCAAACAATTAGTAATGGAATCTCTGGATAACACGAGGAGACTCAGCAAAAGACATCAGTCCCAGGCCCCGTGTCTCTGTATGGTTGCATGGATAGGTTTGGACCAATGAAACTGGAATCAAATGATGTAGATGCTTCTGTGCAATCCTCTTGATCATGAGGTTTACTTACTTTTCAGCCCTTCCTGTCAGAGCATCTTTAGAACCAGATGAAAGACACATGTTTAGGACACAAGGTTGACCTTCCTCCCTAGGCTCAAAGTAACTTGGTGGAGAAGAGTCTTCTTTCTAACCATAATAGTCAACTTACCTGTTTTTTGGATTTTTCCCTAAAAGAAAAATAAACTATTTTTTCATTTACTCTCTTTTTAAATGTCTTTGTTAAAATAAGTTTGCCTCTAATTAATGTAACAAGTATCTTAATCTTTCAAACAATCCTATTAATTATTATTATTACCACTTCTAGAAAGGAAACTGAAGCAGAATGGTTCACACAACCTTGAAGGATTAGACCTGAGATCCAACTTCAGGTGTTTTGGTGTAAAAAAATCTGTGTTCATTATCTCTTCTACTGATCATTGAACTCACTTCCAGCTGTGAGATTCTGTGTGGTTGCTGTGATTGTGCCGCTCCTAATTTGAGCCCACACTAGGCTTGTTGTTGGGATTCAAATGTACCTGCGCTGAGTTTGGGAACAAGGAACCCTTAATGAATCAGAGACTTGTTGAATGGGAATGGAGAAGTTGGCTTAAAATGTGTTTCTCTACCTGGATCCATTGTCTGACCTCCAGGAAAAGACTGGAGCAGAAACCAGGTAACTGACCTGATAAATGAGACTTTGAAATGTAAGGGCATGTATTTATACCTGTTTTCAAAAGTGCAAGGTGAAGAACACTTCCCAAGAAGGCCCTTCTGATCCCATAGTTAGAACCACGGTTCTTCTTCCATGGCTTTTCTTTATATTTTGCATCATTTATGGCACTTATGAGAACTGTTTTGTGTTATTGTTTTTATGAATCTTTCCACCTCACCCATTCACTTATTTGTATATTTGAAATTTATCAAATACCTATTTACTATTCTGGGGAACCTATTTTTTACCAACACAGAAATAATAAAATAATAAACTTCAAGTAAATTAAGCATGAAGATCATACTCTAATTACATTTTTTTACCTCCATTTTACCTACTTTTTCTATAGTGCCCTAACAATTGCTTATTAAGTGTTATATGGATTGGTTTGGTAGGCCTTTTGAGGCCTGATTGTGTAATAAGTAAGTGCAGAAATCCGGAAATCATGTAGTAGTAAAGTGCTTCATAATACACGAGGAAACCCCATTAGTAATGACTTAATAACAGAAGTATAGTTGAGAAGGGATGGATATAAAAGTTTCTTGGTGGGGGGCAATGGCACCTGAGTGTCTCAGTTGGGCATCAGACTCTTAATTTTGGCCCAGGCCATGATCTCAGGTCATAGGATTAAGCACCACATCAGGCTCTGCATTCACTGGGGAGTCTGCTTGAGATTCTCTCTCTCCCTCTGCCCCTCTTCCAGCTCTCTCTCTCTCTCTCTAAAATAAATAAGTAAATCTTTTAAAAATGTCTTAGGGATAGAGTCTTGGCAGTACTGAGCAAAAAGAGACCATTTCAAAGCTCTCTAAGATGTAAAAGCAAACCAATCAAGGTGTTAGTTGTTTAAATGATATAATTTTCTATTAGAATGTGAGAACTAGAAAGAAATTCTAAGTAATCTAAGATTAGGATGTTTGGGCCAACTAATAAAACATAAAAATAGGAAAAAAATGTAAAGAAGATACTAAGAATCTCTTATCGTAAGTTTTGTTTCATTTAGGCTACAAAAGCTATACTTCTCTAAATTAACAAGTGTGCTTGAAATTTGCCTCTGAAATTTTCTCTCATTTTAGAGCTATCACTTTGGCACACGCTGAAGCTGAGTGGACGATTACAGAAGATGGAAAGAGAGCTAACTGTAAAGAGAAGTCTGAATCCCTTGGTGGAGCTTTGGGGGAAATTAACCAGATACCCGTCTGGGTGGAGATAGTCCAGCTCAGTAGTTTTGTGTTTAAGCTCAAGAAAAGATTTCTAGTAACTGCTTTGTGCTGGGACATTTTTACAATACAGGGATGAGTGATGCACTTTTCTAAAGCCTGAACTTTCTTCTCAAAAGACAGATTGCCACCCTTACATCTATTAGGATTTCCCTCTTACCTGAGAAAATGTGAGCAAGGACAATGAGAGCAGCAGAAACCAAGAAAAAAATTCTCATGGCTCCAGACATCAGTAGAGAGAGGATAAAGGAGGTGTAGTTGCTAGAATCCAGCTCTTTTATCAAGGGAAGTTGATTAAAACAGGTTCTACAGCTCTGAAAGGGCTGGAAGACAACTTCAGTTTGAAATGTCCATTAAACGGAAACTATTTTTCATGCTCCGCTGAGTAACGAGTGGGCTGCTGGATCAGGTGTTACCTCAATGATGTCTGTCGGAGAGTAAGGCAGACAGCTAGTCCCCCTGCCTGGATTCCTACATTCTATGTCTCTGCCTACACATCTATTCTCTGAAGCCCCATCTCAGGTGCCTACACTTCCAGAAGATCTATAACCCCCACTCCTTTTCTTCTTTAAGATGTTACTTGCAGCTCGGTCTCTTATAAGATTATCTTGGCAGTCATTAACGGGTACCTGTCATAATTGCGTTTCAAAAATTATACTATGTGAAGAATTTTTATCCATCCAGTCTGACTATCAACTCAACAGAAGAAACCAATTCTCCTTCCATCCTTTTCTTTCCATTGATTCCTCATAAAGTGCTTTGCAGCAGTAGCCGTTCAAAATATCTGGGTTCTTTGACTTAATTGATAGCTGTCTAATTAGGGTAATTCATGAATAGTCAAACAATTAATTCAGAAATCTTACTAAATGTTTAAAGTTTTTACATTTGTAAATATTATTATTAAGGATAATGGTATTATGACAAAATATGACCATACCTCATATGTTATGGGAATAGCTTTCATTCAACAAATATGGGTTGGAGAACTATGTATATGTTTATTTTTATTTTACTAAGAAATTTTGAATTTTATCCTAAAATCAAAGGGAAACAATTGAAGGATTTTTAAGCAGGGGGGTTATTTGAAAGATTAAAACTCAAATGAGGAGTTCCGTTTCAAATAAAGCAAAGTGAGCTCCTGACAAGTAGACCCTCCCACTAATAACAAGTGAAACTGTGGAAGAAAAAAAAAATTACCTGAAGAATATGAAAGTTGAAATAAGTACAGGCATATTTAACATTTTGGAAAAAAATTAGAACTTGGAAAAATTAAACAGCAAAGAGTACATTCTTTCTGATTGCAATGTGGCATGGAGACGCTAACTCAAAACAAACAAAAATATCTATCCTGTTTCTAAACTTATAAAGGCAGAGTCAAGGACCACCATGGCTGCTGCAAATGAGGACTCAGAGAAGGAAGCTTAGGTTCTTTGTATGAACTCTCCCCCTGAGGGAGAGTTTTGTTGACTCCTGAACCGTGCATGCATCTAATTAAGGTAAAACAAAACAAGATAAACACAAAAATACCTCTGAGATTTGAGCTTCTGCTCATTACAGACTAGGTAATACTTGTAAATTGAGTTTAATAGAGTTACTGTCCTGTTATAACAAAAATGTCAGCCTTCTTCAGAGGATGTAGCATATTCATATCCTCTTCAACACAACATTCTCAGTGTCCAGGACTTCGAGGATGTTGAAATAATCAGACAAATGACTTTAGTATATTCATTTTAACATGCTCCAATAGTATAGAAAATACACTTGCAATCAATATTAAACATGGGAAATGTCATTAGAGAACAGAAAATATAAAGAAATGTTGATACTAAAAGATATAATACCTGAAAAAGATTAACTGTATAAATTTGATAGCATAGAAAATATGACAGGATCAAGAGTCACATATTCAATAAACTTATGCAACCTATAGATCAGAGAGAAAAAATATTGAGAAAAATAGACCTTTGAGGGTGTGAGGGATAATATCAAAAGCTGGAGCAGACAGGTCATTGGAGTCTGAGAATGAGGAGAGAAACCGAATGCATTAAAAAGTAGTTCGAGGAAATAATGGCTGAAAACTCTCAAATTTGGTGAAAGGCACAACTGACAAAACCAGGAAGCTCCTTGAATCACAAAGAATATAAATACTATGCTCAGACACATCACAGTCAAACTTCTAAAGTCCAGAAAAGGGAGAAAACGGTGAAAGTACCCAAAGAAAAAAAAACACGTCCAGTTCAGGGAAATAGCAATTGGCTTCTCCTCAGAGTTGAAAGAGGTCAGGTGACTGTGCACACACCTTGCAGCAGCTGAAGGAAAACAAGCACAACACTGCCACAGCCCCAAACTCCATCTGCAGGAAAGATTCCCTTAAAAAGGGAGGATAAAATAAACATGTATTCAAGGCAAAGAAAATTGAAAGAGTTTTTCTCTAGGAGAGATTCCCTACAGTTACTATAAAAGGAAATTCTTCAGGCTGAAGGGAAATACCAGAAGGAAATATGGTTTTCAAGGAAAATGAAAAACATCAGAAATGATAAATATCAGTGTAAGTGCTTAAAAAATACATTGTCTTTTAATTTATTTGAAGTTTAAGTGACTTCTTAAAGCAAAATCTGTAACATTGCCTTGTGGGTTTATATATTGTATGTGGATGTGATACATACAAAAAATATAGCAAAAAGACTACGAGAATAGGATGAAATAGGTCTGCCTATATGATTACAAGCCTTCCAAATTTTAAAGAAAGTGGATTAACATCAACCCTAAGTTGAATGTGTATTGATAATACCAGTGAAGCCATTAATCATAATACATATATTATAATGCAAATGTTGACACAAATATCCCAGTAATCTGAAGAAGATAAGAGAGAGATAACAGAGGAACAAAATCAAGGAGAACAAACACGTCAAAAATAGTCAATTGATAGACCAACATCTTACTAATCTATCATTAATTATGTAAAAATGTTAAGGGACTGAATATTCTCCTTAAACAGCAGAGATAATCATATGGATTAAATAGGAAGACAAAACTACATGGTATCCATAAAGGAATCTTCTCTCCAAACATGTTTTTCCTTTGAGATAATTATAGACTCACAATAAGTTCCAAAAGTGGTACAGAGAGGTTTTAGGCACCCATCATCCAGCCTACTCCATTGGGGACATTGTCCATAATTTTGAATTGTCAAAGGTAGGAAATAAAGTGGCAAAGTAACCTCAGATCACAAATTATAAGGAAAGCATTAAATAGCAAAAGACAAAGACAGGCTGAAAACACATTAATGGAAAAACATAAACTATGAAAATATCTAGAGTAAGGAGGCTAGAGTGCCAATATTCATTTCAGATAAAAAAAGAATATTATCAAATGGAGAGTGGGATGCTGCTGTACACTTTTACACAATAACTGCATGGATTGGGATCCCTGGGTGGCACAGCAGTTTAGCGCCTGCCTTTGGCCCCGGGGCGCGATCCTGGAGACCCGGGATCGAATCCCACGTCGGGCTCCCGGTGCATGGAGCCTGCTTCTACCTCTGCCTGTGTCGCTGCCTCTCTCTCTCTCTCTCTCTCACTGTGTGCCTATCATAAATAAATAAAATTAAATTAAAAAAAATAACTGGATGGATTAAAATGGGGAAACACAGTTCTACAAGGAGAGCAGAAGATTGTGATGTCATTCTTTCCAGCAAAGGGTAGAACCAAAATTAATAAACACAGGTTTGATGTAAACAACACTACCACCACGTTGACTGAATTGGTATTTATGGAATACAACACAAAATGACTGCAAAACACACATACACACCTTTTTCAAGTACCTATGACACATTCATCACCACAGGTCACATGCTAGGCTATAAAGCACATATACTTTTGTTGAACTATTGATTTCTCTCTTCAGTGTGTCAGTTCCCACTTCATGTATTTCGTGGGTCCTGTTAGGTTTATACACGCTTATAATGGTCATGTCTTCTTAAGGGGTTGACTTGTCTACCACGATACGCAGTTCTCGTCTCTAGCTCCATCTTTTTCCATCCTTCTACTTTTGACCTCTTCATTTCATTGAATCCAGCGTGTCCCTTTCACACAGGCACACAGCATATAGTTGGATCTTTAAAAAAATTTTTAAAAAACCTTTCTGCTAGACTCTAACTGGAGTATTTAATTCATTTGCATTTAATACCATAATTGATGAGGTAGGATTTACATCTGCCATTTGCTATTGTAGTTTTCTTTTTTATTATTATGTATTTATTTATCTATGGGGGCGGGAGAGAGAGAGAGAGCTTAAGTGGAGGGTGTTGAGGGACAGTGGGAGAGAGAGAATTCCAATAAGGCTCTGTGTTGGGCTCAGATTCACAATCCTGAGATCATGACCTGAGCCAAAATCAACAGGCAGAAGCTTAACCAGCTAAGCCACCAGGTGCCCCTGCTATTTGTTTTCTAAATTTCTCCTCCACCCCCCTTTCCTGCATTACTGACTTCTTTTGTGTTAAACAGATATTTCCTGAGGTACCATTTGAATTTCCTTGTCAAATATCAGTGACTCTTGATCCTGTCATATTTTCTATACTCTCAGATCTATTCAGTGAATCTTTTTCAGGTATTATAACTTTCAGTATCAACATTTCTTTCTATTTTCTGTTCTCTACTGATATTTCCCTTGTTTAATTAATTATGGCACTATGTATGTTTATGTTGTAAATGAATTTGCAATTAATTTTAAACAACTAGATTCCAATGGCGAACAAAAGCATTATTCTGTATAGCTTGGTTTTCTCCCCTTTCTTTTGTGCTGTCAGACAGAAGTAGGAGTTTTGAAGTACAAGAGACACTCTGGGTGGCCTTGAAGGAGAAAGCTGCCATTTTATGGAAAGAGCCACAGGTCAGGGAATGCCAGGCAGCTTCTATGTGCTCAGCACCATGCCCGGCCGACATCCTGCAACAAGACAGCAACCCACTGCAGGCCAACAACCACAAGTGACACAATTTTTCCCGACAGCCCCAGGGGGATGCAAGGGGATCTCTTGCCTCAGATTAGATCAAAGTCCCAGCTGACCCCATGCTGCCAGTCTCCTGAAACCCTGAGCAGGGGGTCCAGATACTGCCTGGACTTTGGACCCACAGAACTGTGAGAGAGGGTGTGCAGCTTTAAGCAGCTAACTTTTGTGGTGTTTTGTGACACAGTGAAATAAATGAGTCCAGCAGTGTCCCAAGGTAGATCTCTTTGGGGGAGCATATTTATGTGTTCTTGCAAGGTTTCTGTTGGTTCGTGGCATTGCACAGTTTCGTGAATGGTTGATGTTCTTTCTAGTTGATCTTATGAATTTCCCTCCACCCCAGCCTTGTATCCAAAAATGACTTACTACTGAGTCCCTTTGATTTAGCAGGTCACATTATTTGGGAATATTCCCTTTAGGATGGTTTCAGCCCAGCGGTCTTTTTTTTTTTTTTTAATTTTTTGTATTCAATCATGAGAGACAGAGAGAGAGAGAGAGGCAGAGGAACAGGCAGAGGGAGAAGCAGGCTCCATGCAGGGAGCCCGATGTGGGACTCGATCCCGGATCTCTAGGATCATGCCCTGGGCTGAAGGCTGCACCAAACCGCTGAACCACCCGGGCCACCCAGTCCAGTGATCTTGTGTGGTATTCACTTGGTCCATGGGAGCCATGCCCCTTTTGCCCTACCTAATATCATAAGTTATAAGTGACCCCATGGCTGATCTTTCTGTCCTGCCACCGTGGACAACTCTAGCAGAGTTCTTCCCCTTTAACACGTTCAGGTATAGAACCACAGGGCGGCATGTTGAATTTTCCAAGTAGCCTCTTGAATCTCACCTCAATATAGTGTGGGTTGTGTGGATTGTATAAAAGTGCTGTCTTCCCCACCCGTCCTCCTTGAGAGCCACAGCGAGGTCCCAATCCCAGCCCACTAACACATTTTCCAAGGAAATTTGTCCTCTGCCTTCTCTATCTTTCTTTTATACTCTCAAGGCATAGACACAAGGCTAAGTGTTTCAGAGCACATTTTGAGGTCAACTTCTTCGCTATTGCTGTACCTGGGGTCCAGTAATTCAGTTGGGGAATATGAGAGAAGATGATTATTAATGTTTTGTCTTTTTCCATTTGGGAGTTCAGCACAAACTGATCAATCTTGTTCTACAGACACTGCCATTCCCTTTATGTTATTGTGAGGGGGTTTTGAAATGGAACCCGCATCAAGAAGGGACAATACATGGTTAGCATAGTAAGACCAGAGCCACAATTTCAAACTTAATGGAGGTAAAGTCCTGCTAAGCAGGAGCATTATGTAGACTAGAGTGGAGATACTTCAGGGGAAAACCAGTGTCTCTTCCTGACCATTTCCCTCTGACCCATACACCATATAGAAGACTTTCTTCTTCAGAAAATGCAGAAGACTGACATCCAGAGATCTCCATGAATTACTATGGAAATTAACAGAAATTTATCTGAGGAAGCCACGGGCAGCCACTTGACCCCATAAAGTGCTGATTTTAATAAGAAATTGCTATGGGTTGAGATTTTATTATTTTATAAGGAAGATTGCTTGTCTCAGGAAGAAGGGAGATGGGTAAAAAACAAAGTCCTAGAAAGAAGCCAAGTGAAGAAAATCGGGGAGAGCAAGAGAAATAGAGAGGGGTGATTGATGAGTAGGTGAGCATCTATGGGATGCTATACATAGATGCTATACATCTATGGGATGTTATTAGTAAGGGAATATCAGGGCACAGCCACTGGTCCACCTCTCTGTATGACTGAGACATACGCATGAATCCTTCCATAAAAGAGACACCAGTTAGAGTCCAAAGTGTTTTCAATTTGGGTAATCAAGGAGTGCAGTGTTTGGAATGAGTAGGGAATATCTGGTCTCATGGTCATCTCTAAACCATCCACAGTGCTCTTGCTGTGAAGAACTGGGGAGGAGTACCCACCGACAGATGATCACTCAACTGTAGATTCTTATGTTGCCCCATTGCCCACTTCCCTGAGTTAATTCCTGCGAAAATAAGGGAAGCAGTCGGGGTTGGCAGAGGTGATGACTCAGATCCTTTTGGAGAACAATTGAGCAAATGTAAATAGATCTGACAGTAAGACCAACAGAAAAGCCCTGTCAGTCAGACTCCAAGCATGAAAACGGCTCCCACACCAGGTAGTTTGATGGGGAAGATTTAAATGCAGAGGAAGTGATAAAGTGTTGGCAAAGCTGAACATGCAAAAAGGGAACAGTGAGGCGGCCCCCATGTTAGTCCTAGCTGGAGGTCCCCACTGCCCGATGGCAGGGGGAAAAGCAGGAGTCTGTAGTGTGAGCCCGGGGACTAGGACTGGCTGGCAGGAGCTGTGCCTGCAGCATCAGGGCTGAGGGAGAAGCAAGGACATAGAAGCAGGGGCTTTGCTATGGGAGATAAACCAATGGTGGAGCAGAGAGTGTGGGAGAGAAATCTGCGGCTCTCCCTTCTTCCCATCTACCCTTTTGCCACCACACACTTCAACTGCTTGAAGTTGCTTCAACTGACATCAACCATAAGCCAGGACACTTGAAGAACATAGTTTGCAAAAAAAGAAAAAAAAGGAACATAATTTGCAGATAATTGTGCCAGTTATACAGAGCAAAGCAGAGAAAGGACAGGGAATGTATCTGTGCAAAATGGTACAATGGTAGATCAAATGTAAACAAAATCATTATGTGAAATTAAAATCATATGTGAAAACTGAGTGATCAAATTTGAGTAGCTGCTGTAAGATGAATAATTTTCACTCTTGTTATATGAAGCTACAAATTTTATTTCATAAACAAAAGCTATAGATAGTCAATCATACATGCACAATCCATGCTGAGCATTTTAAGTAAACTTCTAACATTTTCATTTGTTGGCAAGAAGAGAAGTGCAAAGTTGGGGCCATGGGCATTAACTGAGTAGGTATGAGTTGCCTAAAAATACAGTGTAAATATTAGAATCAATGACTGATCGCTTATTGATATACCAAGAAATGACGTGAATAATTTCTTGTATGCTATAGAATTGTAATTCCATTAACACAGATGCAGATGTCATTTCTGTTTATCTACTTGGTTTAAATTATTATATAAAGATAGATACACAGAACATGACAGGGTTGTGCACATCCATTTCCAGCTTCCAGGCTATGACCTTGAAGAAATGAAAGCTTATCTGGGTCTCAGTTTCTTCAAATATAAATGGAGATAATGAAATCATAAGTTGATCTTGAGTCATATGAGGAAAGTATGGAGGAAAGACTTATAAATTAAAAGAGACTCTACAAATACATAGTAGTAGTATCTGATTGGGCTATTAGATGCCCACTTGGACCTAGATTTCTTTAAGGATTATCTTAAAAAATAAGCAAAGAAACAAAACCAAGGGAAAAAGACAGGAGACTGATTCTGAGACTCACTCACAGTGTGACCTGGGTAAGGCACACGACTTGTCCTCCCTTGAATACCAAGTCCCACTTTGAAGGCCAGGGGAGGGCTGGTCTGGTTCACCTGATCCTCCGTCGGCAACAGAAAAAGTTCATCTTGCAATTTCCAACAACCTTCTCATCCTCGGTGCATATCCTCCTGCATTTGCCCCGGCCAAGCCAGCACGGCTCACAAACAGCAAAATCACCTAGTTCAAGAAATAGTAGCTTATACACCTTTCCAGGAACTCCCTGAAAATGAGGAGAAGGTTAACAGCCACAAAAGAATGAGGGTGGGGGTGGTTTGTACAATTGTAAAGAGTGTTTTTAAGAACCAGCCCCAGATTTTCAAAGAGCTTTGCTTTTTTCAGGATGGAGTTGGGGAAGAGGTAACGTTGAAGGAGGGATAAGCCCCATCTCTGTTCTCCACGTGTTTAAGGCCCTTGCATGGGTCAAAAGTAAGCACAGGGGGATGAGGTGTCATGTATATGATAGAACCATAAAAATACATACCTGACAGTTCTGCAAATGTTACAAGATGAAGGTGGAAGGGCGACATTTTGGTTTTAAAAGATCCTTGAAAGTAGAGGTGAAGTTAGGTTTAGTTCTGGTTTGGGCCTGGCAGTGGTGGTGTGTCCTCAGTGAACTGCTCGGTCTCTGCTTTCTCATTTGTCATATAGACATTCTAGAAATGCTTGTCTACACTGTAAACTATTCTAGTGGTCACATGGAGTAATTTAGGTGAGACTATTTCACCAAACAGTATGTAGCCCATTAGTTATTTGTGTTGTTGTTAATGTTCTTCCTGTAGAAGATGAGAGCACAGAGAGGGATTGGGGGCTCTTCCTCGTGGACAGATCTTCCATAATGGTTATGAGATCTCCCTTTATTTGATCCTTCTTAGACCAATAGCAGAGATTGGGATGCGTTTTATTGGGTTTGGGAGCAGAGCCGGTAAGAGATGGATGAGCATGTTCCCCAAACATTGCTCATTGGCTGGTACAAGCTTGATCCTCTAAACCTGCTTTAGTTAGCACCCTGAGCTAATGAGGCCAGCCACCGGGTCCAAATCTCTATGGCCAAAATTCCATTCCAGTAACAAAGAGATTTCTCTATGAAAAGGCAAATCAGGCATGATGCTGGCTACAAGAGGAAGAGAAGGCAGAGGCAGAAATCTTGGATTTCAGGCAACTCTATTCTCACTATCATTGCCATCACTCCTTGTCTCCAGAAGTCAGAGGAAGCTGACCAGCTAGGGGTCCTAAAAGTAGAAATTATATGTGAGGGATTCAACTTACCTCCTGGAAATGGCTGGGAATAGTCAAGTCCTGCTTGGCACCCTAAATTCAAATCATCACATTTTGGATATTAAAATTAGTGCAGGAAATAAAGCTGCATAAAACAGTATTCCCAGCTCCACCCATCTGCTGTCAAGGGACAGCAGAGCACAGAGGCTGCATCTTTATTCTAATTCTGAAGGTCAGCACTCCCAGGAACCAGGAGGGAGGTTTACAAAACAGGGGAGGGGGAGGGAATAGCAGTTTGCTTAGAAAATGCCACCGCAGATTCAAGAAAATCCCAGGAGAAGCTCAATGGGGAGCCGACCATTCCTTCAGTCTTACGATGGTCCACAGAAGAGCCGGCGGCTTTATCACCTGCCTCTTCACCATTCCATCCATTTGCGATTACCTGATAGAAATGGAGCCAAAACGAAGAGAAAGGCAAAGACAAAACAAGACATCTTTCTGCTCAGGGTCACCTCTGAGGGAAGCCTCTTCAGAGCAGAGGTTTGGGGCCTCTGAGAGGACAGAAGGCTCACTTATATTTGTGAGAAATGGGGAACGTTCTTGGTCAGTGAAGTGAATCAATGAAAAAAGCACATTTATATGCTCCATTTCCCAGGATCAAGGCCCGATGTGATGGTCTCCATAAAGCCTTATCTTGGGAGAGTTCTGGCTGGGGGAGTGCAAGGAACACGAGGCAGGAGCTGGAAAAGCAGGAGCCTCCCACTGATCCTCCTGGCCCAGCAAGTAGCAGCCTGCTACTCCCCTTCTCTCTCACAATTCAGTTTTCTCCCCCAAAGAATAAGGAGCAACTCTAGTTACTGAGAGACAACACAGTTCCTTCTGCCAGCCTTGGGTTTGTGTCCAGTTCTAGTGATGATGATTGTGACATGCTTGAAACACAGGGATTGCCCTGTAAGAAGAGCCCAGAAGCAGGCACTGTTCCTTCTCTGGCTTTCCTTTGTGCTACCTGTGAATGTCCCCAGGAGCAAAGGGAAAGGGGTGGCAGTCATTTCACCAAAGAAGCTCTGAATCCCTGAGCCTGTACCAATGTCACCTGACAGCACGAAGGCATAATTACCACATCCTTTTCATTCTTCAAGAACCTGGGTATCAAAATTAACATTCATATCCTGGTACCCTCAAATGAGTCCCATCCTATTGCCTCTGCTTATTCAAGGCTCTGGTCTTCATTTTGGGAAGGCAAGGTGGGGGCACTGAACCACGTAGACTAAAGTCAGATTGGTTTAGCAAGTGTGTGACCTCGGTTGTTTAGTTTGTTGAACTTGTTTCTAAATCTTTAAATGGGGATGTAATAAAGGTTTGTACTTTACAGGATATTTAAACAGACTCACTGAAATGAATATATAGTGGCTACCAGACTGTTCGCTTGGACTCAGTGCAGATGTACCTAGAGATGGGGTTGGGGTGTCTCAGGGCCTAGCATACCATTAACCCCTCCCTGGGATAAGCGTGCCATGGTATAGGTGGGCAACTTGGCAGGAACAGGCCTTTCCCCAAGCCCCAACTCAATACTGACTGCATCCCAGCACAGGTGTTGAGATATCCTTGAAGAGCTTCCCGGTCACCATGGGTGAGAGTGGCAGGCTCCTGGAGGAAACACACCCAGCTTGACTCTCTCTGCAGCATGGGATGCCAGTCCCTCAGCATCTGGCAGGAGGGGGCAACCCAGCAGACGTGGTGAACCACACACAGATGTGCACTGGCAGTGTGGGGATCCGCAGGCACCTGGGTAAGTCTGCAAGTGTCCTGCATGTATCCTTGTGCCTGAAGAATTGTGATATTAAATAGCAAAGAAAAATTTCTATGTCAGATTGAAGAACTAGGTGCCTTTAATGGCACCTTTTTCCTGCTTTTTCAACATGGGCCTTTGCATTTTTATGATGAACTAGGACCCGCACATTGTGGAGCTGATCCTGACCTGCAGAGAACTTCTGGCCTTAGAAAAATAAGAGGACTCTGAAACTCTCAAATTAAAGTGTTGGTCCTTGTCATGGGGCCACATCAATGGGCCAAAGATGCCTCTGTGTAGTGATCCCTACGGTGCTCACTGCTGTAGCTCAAAGCCCCCTGCTCCAAACTCAGATTCTTCCATACATGATTGTTTCGAGTATGATGCAAATAAGTATCTTCTTAGCCATTTAAGCCTGTCTGCTTTGCACACGACACAAAAGTTGCCACAACATCTGGCAACATAGATATGACAAATCCCATAGCTGTAACACTGCAAATTGCCGCTGCCTTCCTGAGGGCTGTGATCCCTGGACTCCTCACCTTGCTGCTGAGAGGTATCATGTAGACATATGAGCCCCTCTCTGATGCACCACTCCCCTGAGAGTTCCCTTCCCCCTTAGGGTGGATGCCTCATGCTACCATCTCTGGGAAGCCCTTCTCGCCATGGAGCCCTGTCCAGGTGCCCCCTGATGACACCTCTCATGATCCTGCCTCTTCCTTGAGCAGCCACCCAACCCTGGAACTTATCACCCTCCTGCCCCTAGAATTCACCCACTCAAAGGCGTCTGCACTCTCCACAGTAAGGTGTGAACAAGGTGGCTCTTGGCCATTACAGCACTACGTGGCCTTAAGAGAGTTGGTTAGCATTTGGACTGTAACCAGACAAGATCACATATGCCATGGTCTGAATGTTTGTGACCCCCCAACATTCATGTTGAAACCTAATCCCCATAGTGATGGTATTTGGAGGTGAGGCTTTGGAATGTGATTAGGTTAATAGAGTGGAGTCCTCGTGAATGAGGCTAACACCCTTATAAAAGGAGCTCCAGAGAGTTCCCTGCCCCATCCTCCAAGGGAGAACACAGCGAACAGTCAGCCATCTGCAGCCCAGAAGAGGGTCCTCACCAGCACCCGGCCATGCTGGTGCCTGGTCTTGTACCTCCAGCCTTTGGAACTGTGAGAAATGAGTATTTGTTGTTTACAAGCCACAGAGTCTGTATTTTTGTGACAGTAGCTTGAAGGGACTGAGACATGATCTGAGTTTAGATGAGAAGCCATGTGAAATTCTGAAATTCCATGAAGTGGACTTCCTTTCGCCTTACCAACATTTCTTTGTGTTAAAGGGTTCAACTTCTCTCATGTTTGCAACCTTCACTTCCTTACTAATCAGACCTACCTTAAGAAGCAGACATAAATTACATGAGACAATAAATAAGCCCAATGAGACCATGGGTAATTGAAAAGGTTTGGAAGGTTGTCTTTTCTTATGGATTGAAATCATTTTAATTGAGGATTGGAAGGGAACAGAGGAAATGTGTATTTTCAATCTATCATTCTTAACTGGATTATTCGTGAAATATAATCAGCACATAGACACACGCTCATGCACACACGCACAGCCAGCCAACAAAAACCTCATGGTGACTGGAGGATGCATGGGATATTCCCTAATAGTTTTTTAAAATATCAAATGTGTAGTTTGGAACAATTTTAGATTTGCCAAAGAGCAGCACAGACAGTTCAGAGTTCTCACACTCCCTTCCCCTAGTATCCCCAATGTTAACATTCAAGCTAATAATTATTAATATTATAACCATTATGTATTTGTCAAAACTGAGAAATTGCCACAGGTATATCATATTCCTTCTAGCCAAACTACAGATTTCTAGCTTATCTGATATGTTCTCACAACCAGAGTGGGGTTCTGGGTTTGGGAGAAGCATAGCACAGAGCTAAGGGTCTTTTCAACCTGTCCTTTTATCAGGGGTATGTGATGAGGACACGTCTGGTCACTCCTGATGGTCACCCAGCTCACTCACCTACGGTACCCGATTTCTCCACCCTCTCCTGATGCTATAGCTCTCCTACATGCTATTCTTTGGAATTATGCTCCACCTCCTACAGGGGGATGTCTACTTGGACCATCTGCAATTTTTCTGTAAAAATGTGTCCATTTTTACAGAGTGATTTATGTATTTAACCGTTTACTGATATCACTATGGTATGAGGAATTAAATGGATGGTCTTGTCCAGATTGCACACAAAAACCGTGTTTTCAATAACACAGCAAGCATTTGTTGCTTTTGGGGAGTTTGTGATTATTTTAACAAATGCTTCGAAGGTATTTCAGCATTTAGTAGCAATCATAATAGGGGGGTGATGATGAGGGAGGTTCATCTGCTTGTTATCACATTAAAGAGAGGTATTCCGCAAGAGAGAAGAATTAAAGTGAATAATTCAGGTCTTTCTACTACTTAGCTGATTTACTCCAGATTAGGAAAAAGAGGTAATCAAATTAGTGCAATCCCATGACATTCAGAATATACAGATATTTGATATATATGTGTATAGTCTTAGTCAAATATCCCATAAGCTCACAACTCCCTAGGGAGCTGTTTACAGATTAAATAAAATAATATATGTAGCACTTAAAGTGTGTAGAACTTTTTTTAAAGATTTATTTATTTATCTGAGAGCAAGGGGAGGGGCAAAGGAAAAGGGAGAGAGAGACTCACAATCAGACTTCCCTCCAGGAGAGGAACCTGGTGCAGAGCTCTATCCTAGGATCCTGAGATGATGACCTGAGCCAAAACCAAGAGCCAAGATGCTCAACTGCTGAGTAACCCAGGCGCACCTGTGAAGCACTTTTTGAAAAATAAAACATATGCTTCAGTTGAGCAACTTGCCACAACTCATAAATATTGGAGCTGGAAATCAGACCCCATTGACTCCATTGTGATATTATATAGTTACTCTCATTTGCATATGAGTGAACAGAAGCTATTAAGGAGCATAGTCAGGATTAGAAATCCAAACTTCCAGATTCCAGATCTTTCATTCCTGCTGGTGCATGTTTCTACCCCTGGTCATCAATACACCCTCTACTCTATCCTACCTTCTTCCCCACTGTCATTCTTGGGAACTTTCCAGAGTCAGAAAAACAATGAGCTACAGACTGACACCCACTGATATATGTGGGCTCTACTTGGCAGAGCATGGACATGTCCTCATTGCTGAGATGCCTCACTGATCAAGATGTTCTTTGGTCTAGGGAAATGTATAAATGTGGTGTTTGCTGCTCTTTTATCATGGACACTGTGCTGACCTCTCAGGACCCTGTGAGTCATGAGGACGTTCCTCTTTCTTTTTGCTGTTTTCTTCCTTCTGGCCCCAGGTAAAAGGAACATCTTTTCAGGGAATTTTATAGAGGTGGCCCAGAGAAAGGGTCTGCTGCAGTGAGCTCTTGTGTGCATTCAGCCCTGTGGCCCTGCGAGGCAATATTTGCTATAGGAGGTGACTTTCCTCTGATGCCTCTTCCGGAATTCCCTTGCATTTTTCATTATTGTCTAGGATTGGGTATCACAGGGTTGAAGAAAGCAAGCTATGCCAGGAAAGATGTCCTTTGGTCCCCAGCTCCATGCTCACTAACAAAAACAAAAATTGGGGGAAGATGTAAAAGCAAGGGTAGATATCTATGAATCTTTTTTAAAAAATAGCTGTGATAGAGATGAGACAGGTAAGGAAAAGAGTCAGAGAAAGGAATGCTGGACAAGAAAAGAGAAAAAAAAAGAAGAAAAAAAAGAAAAGAGATAGAAGTCAGACACCGTTTTGTGTTAGTCATGGCATAGATCAAATGGTACCCTGTAATTGCCACTCCTTCACCCTGAGGCTGAGTACTTGACAAACACATCACACCGTAAAATGCAAGTAGTTCTCCAGTGGGCCTTTAAGGGCACTTCTTGCTTTTTCTTCTTTTTAAGTAGGTTCCAGTGTGGAGCCCAACTTGAGATTGAACTCATGACCTTGAAATCAAGACCTGAGCTGAGATCTAGAGTCAGTCACTTAACTGACTGAGAAACTGAGGAGCCCAACTGTGTCCTTCTAATTTAGTGAGATTCAGAGCAACGCTTTCAGCTTGGAAGGCCTGTTTTACATATATTTTTTCAGACACAGATAGGAAGCCTCAGCTGGGTTAGTTAGCTTCTCAAAGTCATGCAGATGAGTGGGAATAAAGCCAGGACCTGAGAGTTCCTATCATGACTCTTCGTCACACTCTCCTGCTGGCTGAAGCCTCCAATGGCTCCAGTCAGATCCTCCTCAAAATTAAAGTCCAAGATTAGATTCATCCCAGGTTCCAGAGAGCTGAAGAAAGGGAGAAAGGTTATTTTTGAGAACCTACAATGAGTCCAAATTGGTGCCAAATGCTATTGGTGTCCCCATAAGTGGCTCAGAATCTTCACACCAGATACAAGTATCACTGGTCTATTTTGCAATAAGCCTGTGTGAGTAGATTCTGTGCCGGGTATACAAGGGTCCAGGACCTATGGCAAGCTACTCACCCCACTGTCCTCGATGTACACATTGGAAAGTGACCAAGGACTCCTTTTCAGACCAGTCAGACTTATATAGTTAGTCAACACAATATGTGATAATGTAAGATAAAAATGTCTAATAAAAGCAAATGGAGCTGGCCTATTAATGTGCCACATGCGCGCGCACACACACACACACACACACACACACACAGAGTTATATGAACCCCTAGATGGGTGTGTGTGATGATCCACTCAAAGCCTTGTACACACAGATGCTCTCACCCTCTGTGGAGGCTTTCTGTTTTTCGACCATCCCTATCAATTGGATGTAATACAGAGACTCTTGTCAACAGTGAGGTCCTGTACCTGCAGCCCGGGCTGACCTAATAACACTAGGAGGACGGACAGAGTATTGTCTCCTGCAATGGGAACCATAGCTCACTGAGCTTTGAAATATTGGAGTATCTGTCCTTATGAACTTATATGCTGATGCTAGAAATAATTAGCACACATGCTGGTACCGAACCACCTAGTTTTAATTTTACATATATGTGAATTAGCCACCTTTAAATGTTGACATCAATTTCAATTTGTGTACATCCAACACTATCCTTACATATCCCTGGATTAAGTAAAACCCTAAAATGTTGTGTGTCTGATAAGATGTGTCTGTCCTTAACTTAAAGTGGGCTGCTCTTATGATTGCTACAATAAAGTTCTAAGGCCAGAGCTGGTATTCTGTGCAGAGTAGACAGAGGAGTCTTGGAGATCCACTCCCAATATACATCTCTACCTCTTGAACACATTTGATGAAATGTGGAAATGAATCTGATCGAGCCTTTCTAAGCAACCCGTTTCCTTTCACCCACCACAGCAAACTTTCCCCGCTCTAGATTTATCCTTGTTCACTACGATCTTGGGCCATCTGCCCAGCCTCAGACCTGCTCTGCTCTCACCAAGTAGCACTTTGACAGTGAGCTGGTGAGTTACCCACCCTGGAGGGGTTTACAGGAACAAGGTGATCATTATGTCTTAGCTTCTGCTTCCCTAAGGCCCCACAAGGCCTAACGCCAAATGCTGGAAGACAAATCTGTTCTTCCTGGTTTTTAAGTTCCTGTGACAAAAAGACAGAAAAATCAGAGAGAAAATAGTTTCCTGCCATCTCGTCTACTAGCAAGATGAGACACTACGGCAGCTCGTAAAGAAATCTTTACTAACTAGTTACATGACTGTACCTGGTAACTTGATCTATCTGAGGAGAGAATTAATCCAGGTGACTCCTTCCCTTATATAGCCAGGAATGCATTTTTTGATGGGAAATGCTTCAAGCTTAACGGGAAGTGCGTGAATTCTTGCCAGAAAAATGAAGAACTGGTGGCTCTCTGCCAGAATTTTCTGAAATGCTGCCTGACACTCCAGCCATGTTGGATGAGTAAAGATGATAAATCTGAAGACTCTGGCTTTCTGGAGGGATATAAATGACCTAGTTTTTTTTGTTTTGTTTTGTTTTGTTTTTTTACTCTGGCTTCTTCAGTGAGAATATACTTCAATAAAAATAAATGACTATCTTTTATCAACTTGTCAAGTGCTTCACTTAGAAGGGAAATGTGAATAGCTAAACTCCCTGCCTACTGGCTTATTTTTCTGTAATTTTGTGGTAAGAGAATTTTCCCAAAACCATGTGATGTTTCTTCTTAAAGGAGACTGGTAGAAACTCTAAGTTAACAAACCTCTAGCTTGCCCTCAGACAGTCAGCCCCAACCACCTGTTGAGATAGATGATAGGTAAATGGATGGGTAGAGAAATGAACATATTATACAGATAGTTATATTAATGACAAATAGATAGCTAGATACATTTAGTTATCAAGGACTCTCGTGTGTCATACACACATATAAATTAATCATTTTGACCCCATGGCTTTAATTAGAAACAGTTAAATACTCCCTATGGATTTGTCCCCTATCCATAAGTCTAGAAGCAAATTTGCTGATGGGATTGTAAATGTCTATAATCGACTGTAGCTCCAGTGACCTGGATCCTGATCCCAGATCGACTTTCTACCATTTGTCAAATTATTTCCTGACTCTAACCTTTCATATTACCTCCTTCAAATAAGGATTCCTGGTCATGTTCCCCAGGGCCTAAGGTCCAGCCTTGGTTCTCTGTTGGATCAGATATCTAGCCTTATTTCCCTCTTGATTCCTCAAGGTCAACGTATTCAATTCTGTTGGAATCAACAACTTTTTCTATTGATATTTTTCTGTTTTGAGACAATTATAGAATCATGTACAGTTGTACAAAAAAACCCACACAGATACATCTCTACTTTTTAATCCATTTTTTCCCAATAGCACAACCAGAGTGCAATATGACCACTAGGTAATGACATGGATACAAAATGAGTCCATCACCACAGAGACCATGTTGTCCATTCAGAGCCATACACTTTTCCCTCCTGCCTCCACCTCCACCTCCTTTTGGTACTACTAACCTGTACCCCACTTCTACAGATTGTCCCTTCATGAATGTCAAATAAATGGGATCATACAGTGGTACTATCTGGGGATTGGTTTTTGGCTCACTATAGTTCTCTGGAGATTCTTCAAGGTTGTTGCATGCCTCAGTATGTCTTTCCTTTTTGTTGCTCTGTGATAGTCCACAGTATGGATGTACCACAGCTTAACCATTCCAATGGGTACTGGAGGACAGCTGGGTTCTTTCCAGTTTGGTACTATTATAAGTCAAGCTGCTGTCAACACTTATGTTAATAGGTTTTGGAGCAAACAAAAGTTTTCATTACTGTGAGGTAAGTGTCTTGATATGCAATTTCCAAATCCTATGGTTATGAGTTTAGGTTTTTATGAGATAATGCCAAACTGTCTTCCAGGGCTGCTGCATTTTACACTCTTACCTGGAATTAAGTGTGGCCTGGCTTATCCACACTCTAGTTGACATCTGCTGCAAAGAATTGTCATGATTTTTTTCTTTCCTTTTTTTTTTTTTTTTTTTTTGCCATTTCGGTAAGTGTGTATTGACAGCTCGTATGGGCTTTTAATTCGGATTTCTCTAAAATCTAATCACCTTGTCCTGTTTGCCATTTTCAATGAAATGTGTGTCTCACACTTATTTTGTAATTAGAAACAGATATATACAGAACAGTCCATCCTAAAGCAGCAGAATGTACATTTTTCTCTAGTGCACACAGAACTTTCTCCAGAATAGATCACATACAAAGTCAAAAATCAAGTCTGTTGAGTTTGGAAAGTGCTTGATATATTCTTAATATGGGCCACCTGCTAGAGATGCAATTTCCAAATATTTTCCCCCGCAATCTACAGCTTGAATTGTTAACCCCTTAATAGATCTTTTGCAGAGCAAATTTCTCTTTAGATTTTGTGAAGTCCAACTTATGTCTATGGATTGTGGGGGCTTTGGGGGGTCAAGTATAAGAACTTTTTGTGTAGCCCTAGATGATTTTCTCCCATATCCTTTCCTAAAAGTTTAATAGTTTCACATTTACACTTACATCCATGAACCATCTTGATTTAATTTTTTTAAAAGCTGACAGCGGGTCAAAGTTTTATTGTTTCCATTTCTCTATCTGTGGGTGTTCCTCCAGCAGTGTTTGTTCAAAAGGCTTTGTTTTCTCCATTGGATTCCAGTTGCTCCTTTGTCAAACACTGGTTTGTAGGATTTGTATTCAACCACTTTGAAAATTATGTCCAAACTCCTGCCTGAAATGTTTTTAGCAGCTTTTTGTCATAATCACCACAAACTGGAATCAACCAAGATGTCCATCAATAGATGAACTAGTAACAAACTGTCATTCATCCAGTTAATGGAATATTATTCAGGAATAAAAAGAGATAAACTATCAAGTCACAAACAGACACAGAGGAACCTTAAATGCATAATGCTGTGTGAAAGAAGCCAGTCTGAAAAGGTTATATACTGCAAGATTCCAGGTTTAAGGCATCCTGGAAAAGGAAAACCTAGAAATCCTAGAAAGAAGTGATCTTTTGCCATAGTTGCCAGGGGTTGGCCAGATGTAAAAACAGAGAAAGTGTTAGGGTGGAATATAAAACTCTATCCCTTTGTTAAACCCTGAGAACTTTGTACCATAAAGAGTGAATTACATTTCACTGTGCAAATTAAAAGAGTTAATTTAGGAAGTCAGGGCTACCACAGGATGGAATGTGACAAAGCTATCTAACTGTATCATAAACATATAAAGCAATTTCACTGAATGTGGGGGAGGCAGTGATACTGGCCTAGGTGATTTTGGAAATGAGTGTCATCTCTCAGTCTACAGACTAAAGAAACTGTACAAAAGCACAGTACTCTAGTCGATGATGTATTTCTTAGGTAACACAAACTTAGTGATTCAGATCCTATTACACGTATAGCTGGAATTAAACAATTAAATGCATAGCTGGCAGATGCAGGAGCCAGGGTTGGAGAGGGAGTTTATAGATAAGCAAGAAAAAAATAGAATGACTCACATAGGGATGGATGAGAGGTGGAGACATGGCTTAGATAAAGATGGTAACATATACAAATATTTATTGCTATGTGTGTATGTGGGTTATTAAACAAATATGTATTTCCTTGCTCTGTCAGCTGAGAGGTCCCAGGAACAAGAACATTCCAGTAACTTTGAGCACACCCGGCACTCAAATAATGGTTTTTAATTCCATTCACTAGTGAAAGGAGCCAGGGATCCTTGGAGAAGTGGCTGATTCTAAGACTGGAGCGGAAAATGTACAAAATAATCCCAGAGCAACCAGTAGTGCCAGGGCATATTGAAGAACTTCAAACAAACACACAATGACAAGGGTATGCCAAAAGAATGCAAAAACTGAATTAATTTGAGCAAAAAAAAATGTAGCCTTGGATCATAACCCAGAATATAAAATAAATATCCATGATCATGACTCCATCCTACTGACAGAAACCCCAGTCTTGTCCTGACCAGGGTGTCCCTGCAGTGTGACCTTCACAAACATTCCCTAGGTTCTCCCCAACAGTTGAGTGAGGAAGCTGCGTGGGCTGGTGGGGGACATGCCCTTTCCCCAAATAAAGCTCTAGTAAAATCATTTTCCCAGGAGAGTAAGTTCTTGTTGTGGAAATCTCTGGACATATTTCACACAATTACTTCCTCCTTTCCTTGCCAGAGCCACTGGGAGTTACTTCTTGGCTCTTCACCACGAGAACCTCATGGGTTTCCTGGAATTAAAACCGAGGAAGGAGTGGGTCCCTTAGCCCGTGGTCCTTGGTAGTTTGGCTTAGGCTTGTCCTCGTTCAGCCTCTGGCAATTTGTCAAAATCACCACAAATGTTCCTACTAGTTTATGGCTCCAGAGACTCCTGCCCCAGTTTAGCACATCTTGGCTGTGACTCTCCAAATTTAGGAGCGGTGGTTTGCCCCTGTGACCTCAGTTCTCTATGGGGTTCAAGAAAAATCACAGTTTGTTCAGAGTTTTTCTAATTTTAAGGGCAAGAGTGGTTACTTCCAGGTATTTTACCTGTAGAAACTGAAACCAAAGTCCCAGAGCTCTGCAAAGGGGGCCTGATGCAGCCTAGACCCTCCTGTCCCCAGAGTTCTCTTGAGATCTGGTCCCTGCTGAGTGCAGGAGGCCCCTGTCTGCAGAACCATCTCAAACACTGTTCTCTACAAGGGGACTCTTTGGATCTGCCATCCACGTCTCCCCTCCACATGACCGTGCTTCTCGCCTCTCCTGGCACTGCTGGGAGATGCTCCCAGCTGGTGAGGGAGCTGCAGGTTTAAATGCTACTTTGAGCTGCAGAGAGCACTCCCTGGGACTGTGAGTAGCTAAACCACATCTCCTGCTTACCGCTCTAGGCCAGGGGCAAGGTGAGCGGGGGTGTATCCTCTCCTTCATTCTGTTCTACTCTCCCCTGCTCACGTTGCTTCTGCTTTATACTCGTCCACTCTATTGCACCATGCACTCAACAGGCAGTTGGTTATGAAGCACATGTCAGGCACCGGGTACTGGGCAGGCATATAATAGTGAGTGGAACATAAACATTGTCTCCCACTTGGGGAACTTAGAATTCCATTGGGAAGACCAAGTCACTAAAAACATATGTAATAACTTGGGAAAGATGTGATGAGAGAATTTTAAAGATTGCATAAGGAAGACAACAGTTCCAGGGCACTTCTAGGGAGATTCCCCAGCGTCATGACACTGAGGTCAGGGAGGTCATTCCTGGGTGGAGGAGAGGAGTATTCCAGGCAGACGGAGCAGGGCAAGTGAAGGCATCGAGAGCCAAGAGCATTGGGTCCTGAAGGGAGGCCAACACTACCACTCGGGAAGGCTGAGACCCAGGGTCCCACATGAGGTAGAAGGGGGCCCAGAGTCAGGGCACCTCAGCTTTGAAGTCCTTGGTAAGGGGCAGACTTGGATTTAACCAAAAGTAATAGCAAACGGTTTTAGGGATTTTGAGAAGAGGTGTGATGAGTGCCAACTAACTTTTTTTTTTTAATCATGCTGGAAGAGAATCAGATGGTGGAGTCCATGAGCTAGGACAGCGGCGGGAGGAGATGGTTGGGAAAACCACCACCGTGGGCCTGTTTTTCAAGTGCTCTAGGGCATTCTCTACAGTTGGTTCAGGTACTCCTGCCAAACTGCCTAAGTCGCACCTCCCGGTCCTCAGACACAATTAATCACTCTTATTCTGTTATTCAGTGAGAAGTGAATTTGACACAGACAAGATATGTGGTTTTGGGACTGCCCGCTGCCGGAGGAGTTGTAAAACAGAGGAATCCAGCATTGGAATATGCCCCAATGTCTATGCATGCTGTTTGAAAAAGATGAACACCAACCCACTGAATCCTGTGACACACTGAAACCCAGTGGTGCCTGGTCTTCAGAGCAGCTGACAGCTGGATCTGTGAGCCTTCCCTTCCTGAGACCTCACAGCTAGAATATTCCCAGCAGCAGCCACTAATTTGATAATTGAGAATTTGCTGTACCTTCACCCAGTGCAGAGCCAATATAGGAGCCCCAAGATGGCCTTCTGCGATTGGGATAAGGGAGAAAAGCAACGTGGGTTAAAGTGAGAGTTTCAACACCTTAACAGTCAAACCAGAAAAAATACATTTCATTGACCACAAGCCTAAGTGAACATCTTGGTTTTTTTTTAAACCTGAATTGTATCAACTTACCTTGATAGCATTAGTTTTCTTTTCCAATCAGAATTTTTGCTCAGCAGTTATGTATGTCTTTTGTTAATTAAAATGGGGAAATAAATCAATATTAAGTTGCAATTCATTTGGCATACGCTGTAATTCAAAGCACAGACTTCCAGGAAGCGAAACAGAAGAGATGCTATGTGATAACCAAAGGCTGACACCCCCCCCCCCCCCATGTCCCTAGAGGTTCACGTCCTGCAGACAGCAGCACAGAGCAGCTCTCCTAAGGGACATGCGGGACTAGGGAGGGAAAGATGCGTAGGGGACTATCGGAACAGGCTCACAAAGATCCCAGAAATGTGAAGGGGAACCAGAGATAAAGAAACAAACCAGACCATCCTGCCCTAGGTGTCATAGGTGGGGTCTTGTTAGAACAGCTACTGTGACCAACAAAAGAATCACCAGACCCTAAAAAGGAAGTAAGCCATTGAAAGTGTTAACACTAGTCCTTATTCAATGGTGAGATCAATAGAGGTGTGAAAAGGATTTAGGTTCCCTGGTTGGCTTTCAATAAAAGACCGGCCCTACAGGCCCTCAGGAGCAGCACTGTGAGGATCCCTTTCACTCCTGAGACCTCCCTGTATCCTTGTTTACTAAACTTCCCTCGCTTTATTCACTCTCCTTTGTCTTCTAGATTCATTCTTTGACTCCTCCCTGAGACAAGAACCTCGCTCGTCCTGCTTAATTGCCACCATGTACACTCACTGCCTTGAGATCTGATAAACAAAAGGGAGTCATAAAATATTTGGCTTTCCTTTCCAAACCTTCTTTCAGGATGAGCAAATGGTCCGTGGGGAGAAGCTTCTCTCTATAAAAGTAGCCCGCCCCATAAATGACCAGGAATGATAACATAAGGTGAACATCATTATTTTCAAACACCTAGAGAAATAATCATCTAGCCCATGAATGCCAATAACCCCCCTCACTAAACAAGAACAACCACCTGACGGCCCTCTGGGGATGTACACACAACCACACAGGAGCGGTTAAGCTGCTCTCTTTTTACCAAAACAGTTCACCAAACCTTGGTGTAAATATCCCCCAGACTCATGTGATTAATCTCATTCCCTTCCTAATGAGCTCCCCCTCACAGATAACTTCAAAGAATATTCAACATGCCATGTCACTTCATCCGAAAATACTTCAGAATATATAATTCAGAGAAAATGATTCTTTTAATATATATATATATATATATATTGCTAATTCTGGGGACAGCAGAATAAAAAAAATCTGACTTATTTCTTCAGCTATTAATTATTTTAATTTCATGGAGTAATAGCCAAAGAACAAAGTCAGATTTTTTTTATTCTGCTGTCCCCAAAATTAGCAATATATATACTATTAATATATATTAATATTATATATTATATAATATACAATATAATATTATATATTTATAATTATATATTTATATATATAATTTTCAATACATGTACAAAACAACAGTACTATGACTATAGCTGGAAAAAAATCAAAACAAATCCCTTATTACAACCGAATAGTCAATCAGTGTTCAAATGGTCCTGGTTGTTTCCTAAGTGCTTTTGTCAGAACTGATTTCTTAGATTTGGGGCACTAAAAGGTCCGTCCACACACTGTGGTTGTCTGCCTCCGAGGCCTCCTTTGTGGGCGTCGTACCATTGCTGTTCCACCTGTAAAATTCTGTGTTGAACATTCCGTGCAGAGATGAGCCTCTGATCTCACCAGGGCAGTTACGGGGGCAGCAGAGCCTGTAAAGCAGCTCCTGGGGAGGCAACACCCTAGATGCCAGGTTGCGGAATGTGCTTTAGGACAATCTAACATCAATTTTAAGTTGTTTCTTGTCCTGCGTTGGTGTCGCCCTTCATGAATTTCACACACTGTATTTTCCGAGGTACTTTCATGTGCATAATCTCCTTTGATCCTCGTGATAAGTTAGTGAGACAAGAGACATCACCCCGACCTTCTTTGGATGTGGAAACAAAGTCACAGAGAGGCGAGTGCCTTTCCCAGTCGGTCAGGATATTAGGCAGGACCAGGCAGGATCACTCCCACACCCCAGGCTCAAATCTGAGGCAGCACAGCATGCTGAGCTGGAATTCCAGCTCCCACTTAGCAGATCACCTCGAGATAGTTTCTACCTTGATTCCTCCATGGGTGATACGGCCACTCAACATGTACAAGCATAGAGTCACCTTCTGGCCCCTTTCTACAATTTCCTTTGGTCTCTTTAATTTTCAATTGGACATTTTTTTCAAGAGAGAGGCCATGCTGTGCTTCCCTATGACAATAGAGAGACGCAGACTTTTATTAACTCCACAAATAGTAATGGTCAGGGTGATGATAGCAAACAGAGGGAAGAACTATCTCACCATCAGGAGAGAAAATTAGAGTGACCTTACAACCTGGTTTGTCCTGAGGAGCCTCAGGTTTCACTTGCTGTCCTGGTGTCCCAACCTTTCACTTTGGAAAGGGACTGGATTCTGAAATAGCCCCCACCCTACGCTCATGTATAATCCATATAGTCACATTGATGAATTGCTGCTCTAAGCACTGATGGAAATTACAAAGTCACACTATTTTAATTTCTTGGAGTAATAGCCAAAGAACAAAGTCAGATTTTTTTTTATTCTGCTGTCCGCAGAATTAGCAAGAAATATTTGAGGTAAGATACACACATCCAGAAACTCAAAAACATCACCACTTTTCTGAAGGGTGGATACAGAGTTGAAGGCTGAGGTTTAAAATGGAAGACCAATAATCGTGTGAAATTAGCCTAATGAAGATCAACAGAAAGAATAAAGGAGTTCAAGGGGCATTTTGCAATTCTAATTTATATATTATGTATGATTTGAAGTTGAGAGAAAGAGTGGGATAAACATCTGGATAAGCAGATCTGCCACTGGGCCCTTACCAGAAAAAAGAAGCCTGCAAACAATCAGCCCTGGCCTCTCCCTTTTTCGCCTCTCACTCACATGGTATTCCATAAAATCCTGTAAGACACGGATATGAGGTGTGGAGGGATGTGCCTGCAGAACATCTCTGGTGATGTAGCTTCCACTTCATTTGGCCCATTTACCTCGTTCAAATGAATCAAGATTTCCCATACTAAGCAGTTTAAAACAATACTCTTCATTAGTTGCATGGACAAAAATAAATAAATAAATAATAATAATAATAATAATAATAATAATGAATAATTAGAGTATTTGGGGTTCTACTATCCTTCTCCTCGGGATAGATGTGGCTTTCAGTAGGTAAACTGTTTTATGGTTTTCCTAGAACACAGAATGCTAGCAGAAGGGGACTAGAGCCCAGAACATGGTCCTGTCGGCACAAATGTAACACCAACTGCCTTTCTAATGATTTCACCCAGCTTTGTTGATCAAAGAGCAGAACCAGCTTTTCACCAGCCCCTCCTTTTTAAGGTTGTTCTTTTATCAAGTATTGGGCAGGACTTCTTTTATCTTCAGATCTGGACACAGGAAGTGAGATGTGACTATCTTTGGCTCAATTTCCTCATCCAATTAGATGTAATGATTTTAATGAATTAGAACATTCCTTTAGCAGAGTAATGGTTATCAAAATATTGTTATATGATTCATGATTCATCACTTTATGTCTGGATATTTGACTGGTATTTCTTTTCTCTTCTTACGGGGAAGGCAAACATCTGTAGAAATAAGTTGGGTATATACACTAAAATTTGCATCTTTGATAAGAGATTCCAATTCCTAGAAATAAATATAAATACAACTGTAAACATAGCTTTTGGGCTAGAATATAAAAGTAATGGGGTACAGGTGAGGGGATAAGAGCATCTTTATTTGGAGTTAGGATCACAGAAACTTCTCATCCCCTGCTTGATCATCTACTTTCTCCCAGCATCTAATTGTGAGCACCTGGTGGCCTTGGTGATTAGCGACTCTTATCAGGGACCCATTGCCTCCTGTCTCTACTAGTGTCTTCAACATCCTCTGTGAATTGAACATTTTCTAATGTCTAAAAATCAACAATGTGAATGATCTTATGCTAGCACCTCTGTGCTCTATAATATTGAATTTGCCCCAAGCCCCAGAGAAGAGGCCACAGCATGATCACACTGGGGCCCTGTGCACATTTATTGGTAACTCCAAACCTTCTCTACTTCCCTCTTGTTTTCCTGGATGCTCAAGCTCCTACTGGGGCCACTGTTGCCTTCTTCATCTGCTTCCACCTGTCTCCAGGGAGAAGATAATAATTTTCATTTACACTAATGATCTCAGGCATTTTCTTTGGACCAAAGTGTGCCTGCAAATAAGACACATGTGACAAGCACTACCCTTTCCAACATCTCTGGAGCTGTATCAAAAGTTTGATGGTTATAACACAGTCAAACCAAAGTCCATGTTTCTCTGGTCACATCCAGGACACATTTCCTGGGGTGTGTGCACCTGAGATAATGCAGCAACATAAAACTCATGCCTGCTAGAAAGAAGAAGATGGAAGAGAAGAGGAAGAAGAGCCTTTGGCGTAGTTATTACCAGAAGAGAAAACTCAGCATCAATTACAGCATTTTTAGTTTTAAGCAGAATTGAATTGGACCCCATGGCAGTAATAGCCAGGTGTCTGAAAATAAAAGAATGGAAATGATTAAAAGCAAAAATGAGGAGGATAAAAAGAGATGAAGGAGAGGCAGAGGAGACCAAGAAGCAGAGGGAGACAAAAAACAAAGAATCCAGTCTAGAAATGGGCAGAAGACATGAGCAGAGATTTCTCCAGAGAAGACCTACAGATGGCCAACGGGCACGTGAAGAAATGCTCCACATCACTAGTCACCAGGGAAATACAAATCAAAACCACAACACAATACCACCTCACAGCAGTGAGAATGGCTAAAATTAACAAGGCAGGAAACCACAAATGTTGGAGAGGATGTGGAGAAAGGGGAACCCTCTTGCACTGTTGGTGGGAATGTGAGCTGGTGCAGCCACTCTGGAAAACTGTGTGGAGGTTCCTCAAAGAGTTAAAAATAGACCTGCCCTACGACCCAGCAATTGCACTGCTGGGATCTACCCCAAAGATACAGATGCAGTGAACCTAAGGGGCACCTGCACCCCAGTGTTCATAGCTGCAATGTCCTCTATAGCCAAACTGTGGAAGGAGCGGACATGTCCATCTACAGGTGAATGGATAAGGAAGATGTGGTCTGTGTACACAGTGGAATAGTTCTCAGCCATCAGAAAGGAACTGGAGGGCATTATGCTGAATGAAATAAGACCGTCGGAGAAAGACAGTTATCATATGGTTTCACTCATATATAGAATATAAAAAATAGTGAAAGGGACCATAAGGGAAAGGAGGGAAACTGAGTGGGGAAAAAAATCAGAGAGGGAGATAAACTATGAGAGACTCTTAACTCTGGGAAATAAAGAGGTTTGCTGGAGGGGAGGTGGGTGGGGGATGGGGTAACTGAGTGATGGGCATTAAGGAGGACATGTGATGGGATGAGCTCTGGGTGTCACATGTCTCCATCTCGACACCTAATAACCCTCCAATAAGCACTTGAGGGAAGTGGTGCTTTTTTGGTTAAGGGCACCTGTTTTGACCTCTTCCCTCTTTCTGCTCCTCTTCTCCTGCCCTGTAGTTCTCATGCACCAAACCCACCCAGGGCACTCAGGCATGTTATGTACTTCCTGAGGGAAGTGGCTCCACTGTTTGTTCCGCTAGCAGTGGGAGAATAATGCATCCCCATGTGTCCTCTGTGACCCAGCCACTATTCCAGAATGCAGCTCTTCCCCTGCTTCAGGCCCCCTCCACACAGCTCAGGGCTATAAAGGGAGCCCTGCTGCCCATTGCCCAGCACCTTCTCAGCCGGCAGTTCCCTTGGCGACATGAAGTCACCTCTCTCTCCCCTCGTCAATTTTCTCCTCGTGGCCCTAATGTTTCCAGGTAAATGGGAATTGTGACCCGGTCCTGGGGTCTCTCCTCAATGACCATGTTCAGGCTGGGTGTCCTGGCTGGGCAGCGAGGTGCTAAGCCCTGCAAGTGAGCTTTCTGGCAGGGTTTGGGGGTTTAGGAGTCTCTTGGCTGGGTTTGTAGTTTGTAAGTGACAATTTCAATATGCTGTTGGCACTGGCTTCCCAGGAGACCAGTTCCCAACCCTGACTACACTTTCTTATCCTTTTAATATTCACCTGCTCCTTATAAGGAAGGACAGGCTGCATCACAAGGAACCTTAAATTTTAGGGAGTCTCAATGACTATTTGGTGATAACCTAGGGGAAGGCTTCGCTTGGCTTCCATCAGGTACTCAGGCTCCATTGCCCACCCTCTTTGATCGTCACTCACCTCTCTCTCCTCTGTCTCATGCATACACACACAAATAACATTTGCCTCTTTCATCTCATTGTCCACTTGCTCTTTTTCTTTACAGCTTTATAGAGGTATAATTAGTGTACAAAAATGAGCTCATAGTTCATGCGTACAGTTCTGTCAGTTTGTTTGCAAACACCCATGGTACCATCACTACAGCCAAGGAAATAGCCACATGCAACACCTCCCACAGTTTTCTTGTGTCCCTTTGCATGTGTGTGTTTCTGTGTGTCTGTGTGTGTGTTAAGAACACTTAACAAAAGATCTATACTCTTAAACTTTAAAGTGCACAATACTGCATCATTACCTGCAGGTACCATGCTATACAGATCTCTGACACACAGCCATGTTGCAGGATCCAAACTTTACACCCATCGAGCAGCAACCGCATGTCTCCCCTCCACCCTCCACGTTCCCTCACCCCCTAGACTGATGCACCACATCTTCCTGGGTCTGCTCAAGAGAGAGCTCTGAAAATGCTCTGCTGTGTATTTACTGCGAAACAGGACCATCCAGGGCCAGAAATATTAACCACCAAGGTACGGAGGGTCCCAGAGAACCTTGGGAAGAGTCTCCTGGACAAGGAAAAAACGAGTCTTACTTACTACACCACCGAGAAAAACGTCGCCTCTTACCACGCACCCCCCCTTACCTGGGTAAGTAAAAAAAAGGGGGGGGGTGATAAGTCCCTCCACTTTGGGAATGTTTGATGAATGGATAGATGGGAAGGTGTCTGGGCGGGTGGGGAGGGCCACGCAGTGGTTGAGATAAGGATGGACTGTGTTTATGAAAATAGGGGGTAGATGGCTCGGGCTGCCTCATCTGTTAGAAAGGTCTAGGAGTCTGACAGCCTCCTCTGAAGGATGACTGAGGGTCCCATGAGACTTGGGAGCATGAGGCCAAAGAGGTAAAAGTATTCAATAATCTCTGACTTCACCCACACCAGATAGCCAGAGGAGATGATACCAAGCAAGACACCCTCCTCCTGCTAGGTGGGAACCCCACTCCTTTGGCCCTCAAGAATTTGCTGGATACTTGCTAAGTGCCAGGTGAGCAATGACCACATAGGGATTGCCCCAGGACAGGTGCAGAGGATGGGCTGCTGGGATGAGGAGTACAGGAAGTGACAAATCCAAAGAGCCCTCAGCCACTTTTCTGGTCAGTCCTGACTCCCCGTGTGGAACCAGCTTCCAATCCGTAGGGGCCTAGAGGAGGCAATCATTTCCAAAATGCTTCCTTAATCCCAAATTCATTCCTGACCCTGAACCAGGGAATAAGAAGCTGGACACACAGTGGGCAAGAGCAGGGAACCCACATGAGGGCGTTGGCAAAGGGAAGCCAGTGATTCAAATCCTGCAACCTCGTTCCCTGCGTTGTCTTCTCCTCACTTTGATCCCTTTGGAGGTGGCCCTGGGTTTCCAGGGACTCCCTAGTCTGGTTCTCCTCCCGAGGGAAGGGAACGAGAAAATACTATGATTGCACAACATATATGTGAACAGTACGAGGCAATGGTCCTTAATTCTAATAGCAAATCTATGAGACAGGGTTATTATTCCCACTTGATTTATGTGAAAGTTGAGGAGATGTAAAATAAATTGTCCGAGGTCAATGGTGAATGGTAGTCAAGGGTAGAACCTTCAAGAATTTAAGCCAGGCTTCCCAGTGCTTTCCTCTAGGAAGCTGTCCCCATGCACTCCTTCGAACACTTACCCATTTCTCTCTTCCCTTGGATACTCCGTGCTCACTTCCTGCCTTGGTCTCTCACGGTGCATTTTTACTTGCTCTTCTTACTTGTAATTTCCATCCTGTGTGTGGAGACTCGTCACATTCACGCTGGCCCGAATCTGTCCCTTCCAGTCCAGTGCCACACACACGGAATGAAACACTAACCACCTCTGCCTCCTTCCCCGACTCAGAAAAGAGGCAATTAAGAGAGAGAATGTCCTCCACAACAAGTATTTTTTCAGTACAATTTTCCTAAACATTTTTATTTCCCTACTGGTTTTCTATTTCCCACTTTATTTGAAAGTGTTGGAAAAATATTAATTATGAAGAAAATTCTCTCTCTTAATTGCTCCTTCTCTGAATTGGGAAAAAGAGTCTCAATTACTTCCTATATTGGCATAATACCTCAATCTGCGTCTAGAAAACACAGTATCCCCAAAGGATCCTTTTTTAAAAGATTTATTTATTTATTCACTAGAGACAGAGAGAGAGAGAGAGAGAGAAGAGAGAGGCAGAGGCATAGGCAGAGGGAGAAGTAGGCTCTTCGCAGGAGCCCGATGCGGGACTCGATCCCGGATCCCGGGATCACGACCTGAGCCCAAGGCAGCCTCCCAACTGCTGAGCCACCCAGGCGTCCCCAAGAGTATCTTAAATATCGATAAGTAAAGTAAGATAATACATCCTAAAATGCTTAGTGAGCTGTAAAAGTCTCTGTTAGACTGGCATCAAGCTGTCTTAGCCACATTTCCCACCATTATCCATCATCGCCATAGTCCTCAAGCCATGCCTATGATTCCTAGAAAACACTCCTCTCTTTCATGTCTTTTTTCGAGATCTTATTTATTTATGTATGAGAGACACACAGAGAGAGGCAGAGACGCAGGCAGAGGGAGAAGCAGGCTCCCTGTGGGGAGCCCAATCCCAGGACCCCAGGATCATGCCCTAAGCTGAAGACAGATGCTCAAACACTGAGCCACCCAGGTGTCCCTCCAGTCTTTCACGTCCTTGCACAGCTCTGTGGAGCATGTCTAGCCTTAGTTCAAGACCCATTTAGATGCCACATTTAACATCCATTTAAATTTAATCATCTCTGTGACCTTTTTTCTGTTCTCTATGTTCCCAGATCACTGTGCACACTCAACTATGCATTGATTACATTGAATTTAAATATATGATTATGTGTCTGTTCCCCTGCCAGACCAAGAGTTCCTGATCCAGAGGATGTCCCCTAACTGTCATAGCAGGCTACAATGTTCTACATCATTCTAACTTGAAGGAATGAGCAAGTGAATTAATTTACCAAGAGAATAGACATCTGTAGGGCCCCGTCCATCTGTATTCTTGTCTCTCTCTCTATGACCTCCTCTCTCTTTCAAGAGTTTTTAACTTTCCATATGTAACAACATGTTTAACAAAGTTGAAAACAGAATTTTTAGATGAGAGTCAGAACACTGGTCAGTAGGGAGGCAGACCACCCCCCAGGGAGGAGGTAAACAAAATCCAGCGAAACAAGCCTTAAATCCTAGGGCCACTCGCTCATGGAGAGGCCCCTCTTTCTCCTGAGGGCAAAGGCCTGGAGCCCCTGCTCTTAGGGAGATGGGTTTCAAAAGGCTTCCTGGAGGGCAGCCCCGGTGGCTCAGTGGTTTAGCGCTGCCTTCAGCTCAGGGTGTGATCCTGGAGACCCGGGATCGAGTCCCATGACGGGCTCCCTGCATGGAGCCTGCTTCTCCCTCTGCCCGTGTCTCTGCCCCTCTCTCTGTGTGTGTCTCTCATGAATAAATAAATAAAATATTATTTAAAAAGGCTTCCTGGAGAACTTAACATGTGTCTCCTGCTGTAGGGTGAGGCTACAGGAGGACTGCATTGCTTCTGCCTCCAAAACCCACAAGTAGTTGTTGCTCAGGTGAGCTTCACCAGCAGCTGGTGCTACTTTGGAATAGGCCTGTCAGTTGCTTGGTACAGGGTCTCAGTTATGCTGGATGAATAATTCTAGAAACCCGCCGTACGTACAAGTGCCTGTGGTTAACAATGCCGCATCGTGTGTTTGAAACTACGTGGAGAGGCTAGATCTTGTGTTAAGTGCTCTTATGACAAGAAAAACCAAAATAAACCAAAATATGGAAATGAAGAGACAAAAGGAGACCTTTGTAGGTGATAGGTAGGTTTGCTGCCCTGGTGGTGGTGATGGTACCATGGGGCTGTGCAGATGTCCGAATGCATCCGATTGTTCACATTCAACCTGTGCAGGTTTTGTACATTTATGTGCATCTATAGGGAAGGATGGCTACTGGTCAAAATGAAGTGACAAGAAAATAATTTTAATTGATCAATTGATTCATCAATCTAGGCATTTAATCCGTCTGAAGGTCCCAGCTCAGATCGGTGGCGGAGCTCGTGATGAGCAGAGGAGCCTCAGCGTGGGGTCCATCAGCAGGGTCCCCAGCCAGCCACGTACTGCACGTTGTCTAATATTGTATCTCTGCTTTCACGGTGTTCATCCATCTTTTTCTTTGTTTTAACCCTTGCCCCTTGCCTTTTCTATCAATTGTCTTCATAATATATAATTTAAGACAAGAATTCATGTTTAATAATCTCAGTACTTGAATTGGAGAGTGAGGTAACTGGCACATCTATGAGGCCCCAAATAGCCTCCCACAAGCTCCCTCAGGATGAGGGGGGAAAGAAATCTTTTTTCACTCTTTACAACCTACCCTCAGCTACCTGTCACCTCCCTTACAGAGACGGCTCAGCTCCAAGCCACCTTGCCCAGAGGGCCATCTCCCCTATGTACGTGTTTGGTCAGGCCGGGTCATCCCGAGTCTGCCTCACAGAGTCCCCAGTGGTCCCCTTAAGGGACCGAATCCTAAATTGGTTTAAGTAGAACATTTGTACTGTGACACATCTATTACTCTTTCTCTTCCCAACCACCTCTGAACGGGCAGCTCATTTTTTTTTCAGGGAGAGTAAAGGTAACTTTTAAGCCAGAATCAAAGATCTGATTTTTGCATGGTCAGGATGGCTGCACGGAGATACGAATGCTCATTTACGAAAAAAAACCTGTGTCCTACTTGTTGCTGGTCTCCATCATATCCCTTTGGGCTAAAAGGACCCCCTTTCCATTCTTGAGATGGTCTTCAGATGCTAACGTTGGAAATTTCTTTACACAGAACCTGAACCGGATTTCAAAATTGTCAACTGCAAGAAAAGTGAAGGCTACTGTCAAGAATATTGTAATTACATGGAAACACAAGTAGGCTACTGCTTAAAAAAAAAATATGCCTGCTGTTTGCATCAGAACGTGTTGGTATAGAAGCCAAAGCTCGGTCCCTATGGCTGCTCTCTGGGGCCATAGCACTGACCCAGACACAGGTGTTTTTGGAGAAGAGGTTAAGCAAGCATGCTGCAGAGCTATCATTTGATCCAGACAGTCTGGACATTTTGTTGTAGCAAAAGAAAGGACAAAAACCAGCTCCGCCTGACTATAGAGAAAGTGGCTTAGCAGGAACTGGACAAAATATCCAAAAATCACACAGCTTTTAATGCAATAAACTTTCACAGGAAAACATTCAAGTAATTCCCTCTTTTGTTTAACAAATATTTGTTGAGTACCCATTTTTCCCCCTCCGCAGGGAGAAATGTAACAAATTGGAAACACAAATAAGTGGGGAGATAAACACCCAAATGAATAAAAACAATAAAATGTCACATGTTGTATAATATGCATATATCCAAGGCAATAGGTGGAGCAGATAAATATAAGAGATTTAGGAAAAGGATTCCTGGGGAAATGTGACCAGGGTTTTGGAGGGTGACTAGGAGTGCGTTAATTGAAAGAGACTGGCAGAGATTCGCAGGCAAAGGGTATGGTCTGAAGAAAGGCATGGAGACGTGAACGTGGTTTGCTAAGCAGATGTGAGAAGTTCAATGTCACTCCGAAAGAGAGGGATTTGTTATAAGGATCACTGGTTCCTATGGCGTAGGAAAATGGTGTGAAGTTGTCAAAGACGACAAGTATGCTAAAGACCTTGGGCTGCTAAGCAAGAAGAGGCTATCAGGTGCTCCAGGAGAGTGACAGTATCATAATTTCAATTTTAGAAAGCTCCTTCTAATGAAAGAACTGGGGATGGATGGGAAATGGGTGAGGCCAGAGGCAGGAATACCAGGTAAGAGCTGAAGGGAACAGGACAAGCCCAGGGACAGCCATTCAGTGATCAAGGTGGAGGTCCTCTCTAGGAAGATGGAAGAACTGGGGACGGGGGCCCCCAAGGATGCGGAGGTCACAGGTTTGGTGAAGGAGAAGAAGGCAGGACGTGGGGCGGGCAAGAATAATGGTAACTAAGGCAGCACACTGGGGAGGAGGACAAGCAGGAGGGACGTGGACGAGACCTGAGATGTTCCCCAGGTCCACGGGGACTTGAAGGGGCCCATGCGGATTCCAGGAGAGACATGGAGAGAAGCAATTAGGGTGGAAGACTCGCCGTTTATGGTGCAGGGGCAGCTTTCGGGTCCCAGAGGGAGCACACTGAGCGATGCTAATGGTGCAGGGAGGCACAGAACAGGGGGAGCCACTGGGGGACACAGTGGGGCTCTGCAAGGAGACATGAACGGCACGACGCAGCCTCAGGGCAGATGAGCACGGGGTGGGGGGGGTGTTTGGTGGAACGGAGGGTGGGCAGTCCAGGAAAGGGACTGGGGCTGGGACAACAGGCAGGACGCTGGGAGAGATCCTCACTGGGATTCGCTCTGGGGGAGTCTAACGAGCCCCTGAAGTGTTTCACAGGGGTTCAGGTGACAACAGGACTTGGAGGTCACCACCTCATCTCACCCTTCTTGCCAAGGTTCTTGAGTCTAGTCAGGGCTTCTTCCAGTTCAGACATTCTTGCCTGCCTCAGGGGCCACTGCAGAGCCCCCCTCCCAGCACCCCCCTCCTCCTCCCCATCGCCTCCCCTTGGCCACCTCCATGGTCAGGGTCCCACCGCAGGGTCGCCAGGGAGGAACTGCTGGCTTCCGTGCTGAGGAGAGAGGAGGGAGAGGCAGAAGCAGAAAACTCATCTGGAGGTTCTTGCAGTGACCCGGGTGAGAGCCAAGAGCGGACGGGCCATGGAGGTGACAGGACGTCACATCCGCACAAGGCCAGGTAGGAGCTTAACCCCCTAGCCATCCTGGAACCATCTTCCCCATGTGTCATCTCTCGCCCATATTCCATGTCTTTCCATTTTCGCTCAAAACTTTCCATTAATTTCTTTTTTTTTTTTTTTAAGATCACCAATCTCTCTTTGGTAGTGCCTTTCTGTGTTTCACTATTTGGGGATTTTTCAGGTTCCGATATGAGATTTTCATTTATTTTGAAATATTGCTATGTGTGCAAGTAGTCCTCCTCTTTCTCGAAGTATGTCTCCCTCATGGGATCTCGTTCTCATTCTATTGATCAAACTATGTCTTCTCAAATCTCATCAAGAATAAATACCCATTAACTCTAAAAAAAAAAAAAATTCTCTGCATTTTCTCAGTTGAAATGGCACCTATTCCAGCTCAGTTCAGTCTCTCCTACTTTGTTGAAACGCTGGTTCTCCTTAAACTTGTAGTAGTTTCATACCAGCCACTAACTCTACTCTCCCAACCCAAGCCATAGAGGTCTTCTTGGCAGCTAAGTAGGAAGCGCAGGATGTGCTCCATGGACGCACCCCCTCTGCTGTTTGTCCTAGAGTTTTATGTGGAGCATCCCCACTCAAAAGCAGTTTCAGGGACATCTTAATAGATCCATAATTGGGATATCTGGGTGGCTCAGTGGTTAACCGTCTGCCTTCGGCCCAGGGCGCGATCCTGGAGACCCGGGATCGAGTCCCACATCGAGTCCCTGCATGGAGCCTGCTTCTCCCTCTGCCTGTGTCTCTGCCTCTCTCTCTCTCTCTGTATCTACCATGAATAAATAAATAAAATCTTTAAAAAAAAATAGATCCATAGTGAAGAAATCAAGGAATTTGCTATGAAATATGTAGATGCGGTGATTATTTTTAGGCTCAAAGTAATTATTAGTAAGCTGCCTACTAATGCTACAAACTGTTTTTCATGTTACAAACTTTTGAGCCCTTACTTCTCTCTGCATCTTTTTTTAGCTTTCATGAGTTACAAATCCTCTATGCTCCTATGCTCTTCACAAGGAAAAATTCATTTTTTTTCTTTTCTTTCTCAATTTTTGGTTTCTATATAAGATGATGAATGTTAACTAAATCTGTGGTAATTATTTTATGATATGCACGTCAGATCATTATGTTGTACACCTTAAATTTATATTGTACTATAAATTATACGTCAATTGTACGTCAATTATATGTATATGTCAATTATATCTCAATAAAACTGGAAAAAAGAGAAAAAAGATCATTTCTGACGTCGGTTATATCTCAATAAAGCAGGAAAATAAAGGAGATGCTGTGTATAAAATAATGAATAAATCTTTTGTACTGTTGTTGCATGTGGGTATCTATCTGGGTTACAGTCCAGCATCCACAGCTCATACAGATAAAGCTAGGTACATAAATAGACATCTTTCCAAAATGCTGCATTTCTGGGCTTCTTTCCAGATGAATGTGCTTCATACTTAATACACACACACACACACACACTCAGTCTAGGCTGATACTTAAGGGGTAGTGAGGGCATGTTGAAAACCACTACTTACATGTAAAGCCAGAAGCATTGTCAATTTATGTAACTTCTTTAGAAGTATTTTTTTAATTATGTATGCAAGATACTTGTGCTTGTTGGCTCAGTTGTTCTGATTCTCAGAAATGACCCATCTTCAGTGGGTGCAAAGTTACGGTTATGCAAAATGAGTAAGTTCTAGTGAGCTGCTGTACAACACTGTGTCTGTGGTTGAACTACTGTGCCGAGCACTTAAACTTTTATTAACAGATTGAGTCTCCATTTACGTGTTCTTACCTCAAGTTAAAAAAAAAAGGTAAATGTTCTAAGGAAACAACAAAAATATTTTGAGAAACTTTTTAAAATAAATCTAAATGTTCAGACTAGAACAGTTATCTTAGCAAACTATGGTATATCTTCTTAAAGGGCTATTATATATCCCTTAGGTATAATAAACAGAAAAGCAAATAAAAACCATGAAAATGCATAAGGTAATGATTTTTAAGACAATTTTTCTTAGAAGATACAAGGTAAAAATTTCATATGTCTGATGTAAAATTAATTGTGAAAAGTATGTCCAAAAGCTTAAAAAAAAAAAGGATGTCAGATTCAAATACTAAAATTATTGGTGATTTTATTTTATCTTTGAAAATATCCTGTCAAGGTACTGCGTGACTCTTACATTTTAAATGAATGTGCCTGAGGATAAGTATGCATGTACGTATAAACAAAGGTGTACTTTGATTATAGGCAAAGACGTTGTACCAAGAAAGTTCTAAATCTACAATAAGACAGAACTTCTGGGTATTAAGACTATAAAACATTCAAGCTCATTCCCCAGAGATTTTGGAACCAACGTTGGAATTCATAAGCATCAGGTAACAACTGATATTTTTCTACCCCCTACAGTAATTTTTGCAGTCCTGCTTGGAGACAAGGGAATGAGCACCCTGGGCTCTCCAGGCAAGTTCTGAGTCATCAGCTTTGTTGGTTACACTTGTGTTGTTCTTTTCACAGAAGCCTTCTTCGTGCAGCACCCCGAGGAGGGTGAGACTTTATGGACACCAGTTGTACCCCTGGTGGGAAGACACCCTTGAGCCAGAGATTGCTTTAGGTCACTACAGGGCCAGTCATACCATGCCTGGCTGCCTCCATTTCTGCTCTGCACACCCACCTTGCACACAGAGCGTCCTGCATCCCACCACATCCCTGGACCTTCTGTGAGCTTTGATCTCTGAGACCTATCCATCCCACAGAGTGCCCCTACCTCAGGGGATCTAGTCTCTCCTTGACACTCTAGCTCTGCTGGGGTGGGCGCTGCGGGGGCAGGCTCAGTCAGTTGAATCCTATGACTTGACTTCTCATAACTTTAATAACAGCCACCCCAAGTGTTTTCGACCTGTCCACACATGTGGCAGTCACCACAGCGTGCAGGCTTGGACTGACTCCACTTAGCTCTCTAGTCATAGCAAATTGCCTTACTAGACCCAGGGAGGCCCCTCATCATAAGAACAAAAATTAAAATTAGTATGTCCAAAAATTAGTATGTCCAGTTCTCAGGGAAACTGAGATCATAAACACGGTGTCTGCCTCTTTCTTGATAGACCAAAAGGAGTCCTGGGAGTCGGATGACCAGTATTAGCATTGCCTGTGAGGACAGCAAGG